CGACAATCTAACCCTCAAATAATGCAAACCATGTTTTTATTGGAGCAACTCGTTCCATGAACTACTGATCTCCCCCCCAGATCGAAACGCCGGAAAATATTAAATCTACACAGTATATGGAGAAGAACAGGTATTAAGTATTGAAGAAAATGTTAACAGCCAATTAAACACTGACAAGTCACTCAATATGCAAATCGCTCATTCGTTGGCCAAAAGCGGCAAGGTCGCAGTCCAAAATTCTTGTGCGGGCCCAACAATTGGTGACAGTCGTTTGCGCCACCGAGCGCCAAGCATCCCGCGCCCACCCCATCGCTTCAAGCATCGAAACTTCGTACAACTTGTCCTGTCGACCCGTCATCACCGAATTGATTTGTTCTAGGGCATGCTGAAGTTGAAGCTGCTTCACCTTGGCCTTGAAGAAAGCGATGATTCCAGCATCTTGCGGCTGCAGGTGAGCAGTGGTGTTCTTTGGCAACATCTTCTGCTCGACGTTGGATAGGTGCAAATCGTCATCGGCCTTGTGCGATGGGGCATTATTCACGAGCAGCAGGACTTTGCGGTTGGCTGCCGCCATACGTTCGTTCAAATCCGACAGGTACGTCGAAAATATTTGCCCATTCATCCAAGCCTTTTTGCTAGCTTGGTACTCGAAGCCTAAGGCTCGACCGGACAGGCCACCGAAACACCGAGGCTGTTTGGCGATGCCGACGAACAAGGGGTCAACCAGATCGCTGCCGTCCGCATTTGTGGTGAGTGCGACAGTGATCCGCTTCTTTGTCTTCTTAGTTCCACGAAGACGATTGCGCGTGATTGAGCGATGTGGCGACAAGCAGAAGAAAAAATCGGTATCGTCCATGTTGTATATATCGTTGCTGTTGTACCCACTTGTTTCGTGTAGGACTTTTTTTCGACCTTCTTGGACTTGCTCGGGCGGGACAGAAGCGGCCTCGCCATGCTGTATCATGCTGCGCAAGCCGTGCTTCCGTTGGAACTTGTAGAGCCAGCCTTTTGCGAACTTGATGCGCTGCATCTCAGGTATTGCGAGCTCGATGGCGATCGTTGTTGCTTGTTTGCGGATTAACTCTCCAGTAATACATACACCGAGCTCTCAGCTCTGCGGCAATACTAGTACTGTACTATTAATAGTATTGCCGCAGAGCTGAGCACTCAGGAAATCACTGCAATAAATAAATTTGTCATATTCTCATGCACAATCAAATACTATACGTATAGAACAATGACTCTGCTGGTCGATACTTGACCATTCGCAACGTGCAACAATGCTCATCAATGAGAAATGACGCCGTTGATTCAACACATAAAAATGACAAATTAATAAGGTAACGAACGGACAATACATTGTGCCAAGGCTTTAGTTTCGTAGCGTTGCGCGTTAATAAATGGGATCCATCCAAGTGCTGTAATTCACATTTTGATGGCTGTGAAACTGTCACTACTTAACGTAACATTGGGATGCCCGGTCGCGGAATGGTCGCGGAAACTTTCTGTCCATACAAATGGCTGGTCGTGGAATA